AACTACCTACGGGTCATCTCTCCGGAGCCTACATATCTCTGATGTTGCATGGAACGAAATTCGCCCACAAGTCTCTGTACCTTCGGTAGAGGAGCTCACTATAGAGTGGAACGCCTGCGTTTCATGGAATGATCTGATGACAGGAGAAATTCCATGGTTATCCTTTTTCCCATCTCTGCGCCGCTTAACATTATACGCCTCCAACACGCTTGCATCTTTGGACATCCCTTCTGTATTCCATACCATCCCATACGCGGCGTCCGATTTACACTCGCTGAAAATTGTAGGACCGGTGCCTGCATATACGTTGAACAATATCCGACTTCCAGCGTTGGAGACGCTCCGAATTTATGAGAATATTGACGGTGAGCATATATTAGAAGAGGATAGGTGTATCCCCTGGTTCAAGGTGCTCTGCAACTTCGGCAGTAACGTAGCGTCGCAAGTAATTTGTCTCGGTCCCGATTCGTATTAGTCCGCTTGTATTCTCGTCTTGTAAATGAATGTATATCTCATCCAAAAAAGGACAAGTATACATATGCATAAAGCAAAATCTGAATCATTCTCTACCCGACGAAGGCTCCAGTCTCTGACCTATCTTGCTTTCGACTAGCACCGTGGCGCACCAACATTGTGAGCTCGATGTCCCGTAACATGACTTCATCGCAATTCGTGGACCTTTCAAGTCCTCTTAGGCTCACAAATGCGGGACGTCTCGCCGTACAGGACCAAATCGCGTCCCTCGAAACACGGTTAGATGACCTTGCACACCAAAAGAACCTTGCATTCACTCACCTCGATTCTCTCGTATCGGAAAAGTCGCTTTTAGAAACCGAAATGATGCGTCGCAAGTCCTCCCTCCATCCCATCAAGTTACTGCCTTCCAACCTCTTGCCGCGTATATTCAAATTCTACGTCGAAATTCAACCGAAAGGGGTAGGTGTACTACAATGCGTCTCGAAGGAGTGGAATATTATCGTCAAGAATTTGCCTACACTCTGGACTACTCTCCACATTGGTGACTATGCTCTGTGGAGCTGGAAGAGATATATCGACGCCTGTTTCCTGAGGAGTAAAAACCTACCGTTAGAGGTACGTTTTTTATTCGATGGGACCTCGCAATACGGCCAGGACACACAACTAAACGTTGTTCTTGACCTCTTATACTATTTGACCTTCCTCGTATCCTCCCGATGGGTATCACTAGAATTCACGTGGCTGGAAGCCTCGGGTTCATGGGGACGCAGTCCGCGATTCTACAAACTGCGTAATATCATTCAACGGGCATCAAGCCTCCAATCTATCCATGTTAGGGGTGGCTTTCATCTTACTTTCATGGACCCGAGTACAGGCTCTGTATATCCTAAAGCCACCTACGGGTCATCTCTCCGGAGCCTGCACATCTACGATATCGCATGGGACGAACTAAGCCCCAAGGTTCCAGTACCTTCGGTAGAGGAGCTCACCATAGAGTGGAACAACTCCAATGCATGGTACGATCTGATGAGCCAAAGGACTCCTTGGTTATCCTGTTTCCCGTCTCTGCGTCGTTTAAGCCTGCACGCCTCCAACACTCCCACATCTTTGGACATCCCTTCGGGATACCATATCACCTCATACGCAGTGTCCGATTTACACACACTGAAAATTGTAGGACCGGTGCCTGCAACTGCGTTGAAAAATATCCGGCTTCCAGCATTAGAGACGTTACGAATCTATGAAAACATTGATGGTGAGCATATACTGGAAGAGGATAGGTGTATTCCCTGGCACAAGATCTTTTGCGAGTTCGGGATTAACGTAACGTCGCAAGTAATCTGTCTCGGTCCCGATTCGTCTTAGTCCACTTGTATTCTCGCCTTGTAGATGGATGTATATCTTAACAAAAGAAAAAAAAACAATTAACCGTATACGTGAAGCAAAATCCGAATCATTTCCCGTCAACGAATGGTCCAGTCTCTGACATATCTTGCTTTCGACCACATGCACCAGCACTGTGGGCTCGATGTCCCATAACATGGCTCCATCGCAATTCGTGGATCTTTCAAGTCCTCTTAGGCCCACAAATGCGGAACGTCTCGCCGTACAGGACCAAATTGCGTCCTTAGAACCACGATTAGAGGACATACAATGTCAAAGGAAGGTTGCACTCGCTCACCTTAACTCTCTCCTCGTGGAGAAATCACTTCTGGAAACCGAAATCAAGCGTCGAAAGGAGCTTCTCCATCCTATAAATGTTGAAGGAAGAGGCTTAGGCCGAGTGAGTGTCAGGACCAACCAGTGTCTATTGGGACGAACCTTAGGCCGAGTGAGTGTCAGGACCAACCAGTGAGGAACGGGTTGGCCTGCCACCACTCGACCCATGTACATACATGCGCTATCAATAGAGGCAAATATCAACACGACCCCCTGACTCTATGAGAGCGTGAATCAAGATTGGGTAGGCATATAAAACGTGTAAAGAGAAAATGAAGAAGGGAATCAAGAATTAAAACAAGTCGTAGGGTATTTAGAAAAGAAAGGCATGAAATAAAATGAACTATTATATGTGCGGGGAAGGGGGAATGGGTTTCATTCCATGAGCCGTAGCCCTAGTATATCGCGAAATTTCGAAAATTTGATCTTGCCTAGCGGTTTGGTGAAGATATCGGCTGGATTGTCTTCTCCAGCAACACGACAGACTCGTAGATCTTTATTCTCGACCTTTTCCCGAACCCAGTTGTAACTTCTGTGGACGTGCTTCATTGAGCTTTGGTGCTCGGGATTTTTCATGACTTGGCCGGCAGAGTTGCTATCGAGGTAAATTGGTGATGGGGAGTTGACGGGGAATCCTATGTCCTCCAGTAAGTATCTCGTCCAGATGACTTCGCAGCCGACAGCAGATGCATTGGTGTATTCGGACTCAGTGGAGGACAGGGAAACTTGGCGTTGGAGGCGTGAACCCCAGTTGACGGCACCAGATCCAATCATGATTGCGAATCCCCCAGTCGAGCGAGAGTTATCGACATTCCCACCCAGGTCTGCGTCTGCATAGGTAACGAAGGCGTCGGTAGATGGGATAGGGTCATACACTAGTTTGTAGTTTACGGTACCAGCCAGGTATCGTAATAGGTGCTTGAGCGCCGCAACATGGGGAAGACCGGGATTTGCACCGAATCTGCAAAGACGGTTGACTGCAAAGGCGATGTCGGGTCTTGTGGCACGTTGCAGGTAGAGCAGTTTCCCTATCGTCTCGAGGTAACGGGAATCCTTCACCTTTTTCAACTCCTCAGGTGTGCGTGGTACGTCTTTGGATGAGAGGCGTGATTGATTCATAGGAGTTAGGACAGCATTCACGCCGCCATCTGAGGATTTATAGCCGTCAAGATGTTCGTCTAGAATATCTTTAATGTATGTGCATTGTGATAAGCAGAGTCGGCGTTTGGAACGGTCCCGCTCAACCTTGATGCCTAAAATGAATTCAGTCGGACCAAGGTCGCGGAACTCCAGGTGATTTGCGAGGTCCGCCTTGAATTGGGATATGGCGGAGGTTGAGTTTGAGCATATCGTTAGGTCGTCGACGTAGGCAGGTAAGATAATGCGGGTACCGTTGCGTTGATAGATATAGACGGAATGGTCAGCATCAGTGCAGCTGAAGCCGAGTGTATCGAGGATGGAGCGTAATTTTCGGTTCCATAGGCGACCAGCCTGCTTGATACCATAGAGACCTTTTGCGAGTTTCAGTTTTGTGGAGGGATCACCTTCAGTACCGCCTATTTGTAAGCCTTCCGGAACATCCATGTACACCTCTGCATCAATTTCGCCATTGAGGTAGGCAGTTGAGACGTCGATAGATTCTATCTCCATATCCTCCCTTGCAGCTATTGCTAGCACGACTCGCATCGCTGCTAGTGATGTCGTGGGTGCAAAAGTATCGCTGTAGTCTATGCCTTCTCTTTGGAGGTAACCCTTTGCTACAATTCTCCCTTTGTACCTCTCTGTGCTGCCGTCCGAGTTCCTTTTGACCTTGAAGACCCAACGGCATCCAATGGCCTTCTTTCCATGTGGTAGAGGTACTGGCTCGAAGGTGCCGTTCTTGACATGGGCGAGGATTTCATTCCAAGCAGCGTCGAGCCATTTGTCACCGTCAGGTCGTGATAAGGCTTCAGCCAGTGACTTTGGCTCGAGTGTGGTTGAGGTTTGAAATACATAGTCAGGAGCATCGGTATATGATATGGCAATGGAGTCGGCATGCCAGGAGGTGGCATCTCGTTCGATGTCCAAGTCCAATAACGAGTGCATGAATTCAATAGAATGAGGTTCAGGGAGTGATTGAGCGGAGAATGAAAATTCGAGGGCATGATTGGAATGTTGGGGAGGAGGGCGATTGTGACGACGGGCTGGGAGGTTGTCTTCGCGTTTCTCGAAATGGATGGGATTTGTGAGGCTTTTGAGTTCTCTATTCATTAGGGTTGGGGTGGGAGGATTGGTGAGAGGTGACTCCACTTCTGTATGCATTTCATTTGGAGGGGGAGGGAGTATGAGTTTTACGCGTTTGGGGGTGTTATGTGGTGGGGATGGGGGATGAGTAGATTTTTCTGTGGATGCAGGTGATAAGTGAATATTCTGGTTTATAGTGGAGTTTTCTTGTGAGTTATGACTTGGTGTTTGAGGGCGATTTTCGGTGTTCGTCTCCTCAGGAGGGGGTTCAATGAGCAATGGAGATGGATGTGTGGTAGGGACAGGTGGACTCCGCGTTGGAATAAATGGTGCGGCAAGGAGAGGAATTGACGTTGGGGTGG